TTTTTTTTTTCATTTTGTTTATTAGTATTGTTAAAAACATTCTCATTTTTGCTTTATATATATATTTTCTATATATTCTGGATTAAGTGGAAGAGCAGTTGGTTAATAACCAAACTGAACTTCGTCCAGAAAATAAGTCTATTTTCTAAGAGTGTATTATTATTTTCTTTCCTTTTTTTGCGACTTATTAATAAAGGTATTATTATTATTATTATTATTATAATTACAAAAAATAGCATAACAACACGTTTCATAAGACTTCAAGTACTCATTCATTAAAAAACTCGTGGCTTTGCCACTCGTTTTTCAACTTGAATTCGTGCATTTCAAGCGTGTCTTACGAAACTTGTTTTTTAATATACTATTATAACACCTTGATCCATAGGTTGAAGTAAACTAGTCGTATTTGTGGGCAAAAACATTACTTTGACGCGAGAATCATAGTTGATAAGAATGTGATGAAATACCTTTTCATCACGTGCAATAAAAATTCTTCGCGGCATTTTCTTCCACAAAAGGCCCGTTACGTCTACATTGAACTATAGCCGCCTTCTTGTATTATATTCTTTAATTTGCCAGGAAAAGTAGATACAGCGACTTTATCTGCACTTGCTGCTTTTCCACTCTGTGTAATATTGTGCCAGTCGCATCTTTTTTTAAAACTACAAAACCAACTATTGCTGGCTAAAACGGTTTCATCTTTTGCTTCGTCACCAACTTGTGTCTTTAGTTCTTCAAAAATCTGTTTGGCTTGATTGTATATAGCAGGGGTGGCCAAGCTCCTTGATACTCCGAGCCATTATTCAAAATTCGAAATTTTTCGCGATCATTCAAAGAGCCGCATGTGGCTCGCGAGCCGCAGTTTGGCCACCATTGGTATATAGTATTTTGGTCAACTGGACAATTCTTGACTTTTACTTGGTTTTCGCACCATACTTTAAACAAAGATTCCATTTCCGCTATCAAACCATGCCGTTTACGAATTATATTAGAAGTTAACGGATGAGCATTTTTAACTGCGTCGAAAATTTTACATTTGTCTTTTATTATTGTATACACAGTATAGGATAAATTGTGCTTGTTTGCTAATTGACATGTTTTCAGGCCTTGTTCAAAATTTTTCAAAATCTCATACTTTATTTTTAATGTCAATTTCACTTCTTTCTTTCTCTTTGACATAATAACTAATATGAAAGAAAATAAATTAATTTTTCAACTAATATTTACGTATTCAGTATGTATAACATAATAAAATACTTACGTTATTCTAAAACACTTAAAACCACGATTTATAATAGTTATGTACTGACTGATTAATCAGCTCTCTACGAAGAACGCGAAGAACTCGCATAAACTGAAGGAGCTAGAAAATTTTATGATTCAATTCGCTATTGAGCGAAACAGGGGAATACCCGACAAAAAATATAATAGACAAATTCGTAGTTACGTATCTCCGAATTTACGTAAGTCGGGGTATTACTGTAATAATTATAAGTAATTAAATTGAAATAATTATATTATTGTTTCATCCACTGGGTTTTTTTTTGGAAGAAATCAACTTCGCTACATTTCCAATTAGAACACTCAAAAGTTCCTGAATCTTATTCGCCACTATTAAAATACCTGTAATGGAGAATAAATCAGTACCTGATTTTTTGGTATTAATTCATTTCGGACGTCATTGTATTTGGATAAAATTGACTAACATTTTTTATATGGATATTTCATTTTTAAAAACACAATTTTAGTCTGAAAGCTACATTCTATTGATATTATAGTTGCATTCAACAAAATTATTGTTCATTAATGATGTTTTCTTTGGCGTCTACGTTTAGTTTTTCCGCTTGATCTAAAAATAAACTATTAATAATTATCACTGATTATTTGAAATATAATCATTTAAGTCTTTGTTGACTTTTACCTTCGTGCAGACTTTCTTAATGGTTTGCATATATTTCCGATTCGTATAGAACCATGCTTACAGGGAACATTTACAATAGACGTATAAACGATATCTGTTTTCTTTGGTATTTTATATATAGAAGCTTTTTTTTGATATTGATGAATATCTCGCCCTTGAACATTGTAATATAGGCAAATCACCAAGAATATAAGAACAAGTAAACGGAAACGCATTGTTCTTAATATTCAAAGACACTAAAGTTTGTTCATTTCAAACGTATCCTTATATTTCTTATCACTTTCGTAGATTATTCTTTTCTTAACTATCTTGTTTTTGTAGATCTACATGCGCAGAAATAAATACACGCAGTAACCTCTAAAATAGACATAATTATAACTCATAGCACCGCGATTCATAATAATTTAATTATTTTTCATTAAAATTTTAAGTAACAAAGCTACAACTCTCATAAAGACAATATTTGACCAGCAATTCTAAAATAAAAAAACTCGTCTAATCTCAAGGACAACGCTGATTTTAAAGATGCCAAAAAAAAAACTTTGAACAAAAACGATTTTTGTAAGACTCCGCATTGCAAAATGTTAATATCCTCAACAACATTCTGAACGATTCCTGCTGTAGCTGATATTTGGGAGGCTTCACATCATATTACATATTCTGTGTACTTTTATTATTTCGGTATTTATTCCTTTGTTATTCCAACTTTTATATTTATGCATTTGTCGAGATTTTAATGCATGTAAATTTACATTTAATTCTTCCTTACTATCTAACTGCGTTTGCTACAATCTCGCAGACCGTTAAGGTCAATTAAGATGACGTTAGAGCAAAGAAGGAGAGGGCTAAAATCTAAATTACAAGTACGATATTAATAAGGAATTACACATTCGTTTATTTTTTGTTTTGTAAATTACATGCAAAAGATTTTTAAATATCTGATATAAATTTTTCTTAATCACTGGTATAAACGAAAGTACAATAAAGATATAAATCAATTAAAAGTAACTAAATCTAGTTATTTATATTATTTTATATTACAAATTATAGTATATACACATTTTTAGATATCTTTGAAAAATTATTAACATATTTTTATAGAAAATAAAAATCATTTAAAATAACTAATTTATATAAAATAAAAACAAAAATAAGTAATTGGATTTCGGATATAACGAATTTAAAGTGTTACCAATAAAACTAACAACAGTTTATGTTTAAAAAAAAGAGTTTCTGTTACTATAAAACCTATATACTTTTATATTTTGCTCGGAAGAAGTCTCGTAGTAGACAACCAATAAATAACATAAAAAAAAATAAACGTGATAATCATAAAGATGCCTTTTATTATTCAAAAAACCTAACTATAAATATGAGTAATTCCGTTTATTGATGTATTGATATACAATAGTAGAGAGCTGGCAAAGATCAGCATATTTATCAGCACATTTTTCTCTTTGATGTATACTTATGTTCATGTACTTACGTAGAGACTGATTAGCATTCATTAATCTACCACCGAAAAGGTTGTACAAATGGAAATCCCCACTAGACTCTGGGGAACATGTAATGAGAAATCATATCGACTATATATTAGTCAATAAGAGGTACAAGAACTTTTTTACATCTGTTAAAATTTATCCTGGGGCAGATATAGCGGACCATATTCCCGTAGTTGGTATACTCAAGACTAAAACTAAAAAGGATACATCAACCAGGAAATAAGAGCAAATATGATATAATGAAATGCGACAGAACACACAGAAAGCGAAAGGAGCAGCTGAGATGTGGTTTCGGAACTTGAAAAACTAAAACATGTAATTAATTCGAAAAATTCTTAAGACTAGACCAAAACGTCAGACGAAATTCATGTGTCCATCGATGTGTGGTGATATGCTATAAATGATGGAACGAAGAAAACTCATAAAAGAATATCTAAATAATTGGCGATCCACAGGCAAATACAAAGAAAAATCAAGGAAGCTAGAAAGAAATTAAGGAACAGCTGGTCTGCTCAAACCCAGAACAATATGGTTTAAGTTGCCAACAATCACGTCATAGACAAACAAAATAAAATAAAGACATATTATCTATGGTCATCTACAGCGCTGAGTTATTTCAAAACTTACATCGGAATTTTAAAGCTTTTTAAATCGGCAATTATATAGATGATAAGTATGTGAGTGACTACAGCAAGACATATTGTTCCCTTTATTATTCAACGTCTACTAAGAATATATATTCAGAAGGCTTCTTTGTGAATGAAGGAATATCTGTAAATGGGAAAAGATTGAATAACATCCGGTACGCTGACGATACAGTTATTATGACAGACAGTCTGATGGGGTTGCAGCAACTGATGCCTCAAGTGAAAAAAATGTCAGTAAAAGATGTGGAGAAGAGTGAGAAGATGCAGTTTACTGCAAAAAAATAGTGCAGAAGACTTGAAGTCATCAGAACATGAGTATTCCGTGCAGCAGTGAACAAGGTTGTGATAGAGAGAATGATCGCTAAGATCCGCACCGAATAAGCACTATAAGAAGAATAACTGCGTTCAAGACTGCGCTTAATCTTATTTATGCGTATTTAAAATAAACTCAAAAATTACTTCAGGTTTTGTCTTCATGTTTATGAAATATTACTGTTATTCTTTCATTGAATAAAATGATTAAGGAGATTCATAATCGAAAATGTGAAGGAATGATCTCTGGTGATACATTCTGTCTCTACCCTCATCATTCTTACAGTAATATTTGAAATTTTTTGTGACAGAAGAGCATTTAAATTTTCAGTCACCAATATTACATACATTGATTTACTTCAAACGAAGAAACATGTTCTTATAGAACTTATAAATATTTTTAGATAAATATAATAACTATAATCTTCAAATATAGTATACTAGGTCATTCACAAAATGTTCATGTTACTAGAACAGTTAAGGGAGGAAACCACATTAGAAGGTTAAAAAAATCGATAGTTCTAGACAGAATCGACGTAGTTCATTGGAGTCGAAGAAAGGTCGGCAAGTTTGAACGGCATTGCTGCAGGCGCAAAATGAAGCCTATGAGGAAGAAGAAGGACTAATATATGGTGCTGAAATCGCGGATTAATCGGTGACTGCTTTATATTATTCACTTTTCTAAATTTCTAGTTTTCGAGATGTTTTTTTCAAACGCGTGTTTCTCAAAATGACATTTTTCACATTTGCGGGAACTCTAACTCAAAAAGTAATGAACCAATCATTATGATTATTTATGAAATTACGAAATATATGAACCAACTTTTGAGATGATATCATGATTTTAAGAGTTTTTCTTGCATAATTAGTAAAGAAAAAATGTGAAATTTGAAGTAAATTTTTCCAACACCTGCAAAATTTTTAGTTTTCGTTACATTTACCTGCATTGAGGTTCATATTCTTAGAAAATAAGTTATTAATCTAAAATGAAAAACTTTTTGATATCAGATGAAAATTGAAATGGCTACACGTCCCGCAATTGGAGAACTCTAGGTACAACATCCAGCGGACATCAGAGCATAACTTTGTTATTTTTCGATAAAATTATCCAAAAAATTCACAAAAGCTGTTCGAAATATAAACAAATATTGTCAAAGTTTGATTAAATTCTAATTAATTCTTCCCACCCAAAAAAAAATCCTAAAAAATCAATGAAAATGAGTCTCCTAATGCGGTTTCCCCCCTTAACAATAAAGTTAATACTAATATTGTACTGCATTCAATATTTTGTAACAATCCACTAAAAAAGTATAGATAATAGTAATGAATATAATTCGTTATAACCAAAATATCCTTATTCAATAAAACCAATAAATTTATTTTAGAAATAAACGAAAATACGTTATTTACTTATTTAGCATTTATTTGTAATTGGATCCAAGATAATCCTTGGATTAAAATTAAGGAATCAGCCATGAAGAATACATGGAATAAGTAGTGTCTCCAATTTTGCGGGTGATGAACAAGCAAAAGACGAAGATCTTCAAAATGAAATTGTGGGCAAGATTGTAAAAATGGGAGAGCGATTAAATCTAGAAATAAATAAATAAGTGACAATCCCATGAAGCAGAACTTTCCATAGAAGATTTACTTCAATTACAAAACCCACTTGATGTCGATGATAGAGACTGTTCTGTTGAAGAAAGTCTTGTTGCAACACTATCATGTTATAGTTTTTTGTTTACATATTAAAATAACGTATGGTTTGTTAAGATTTTTATATTCTTAATTTTATATGAACCTGCTTACTATTTCTTACGATCTTTTTCAATTCTAGTACGTTAATGCGGATGGCGATGGTACGTTAGACGAACAAAAGGTTTAAAAATATCTTGTGTGTACTGCATTCAATATTTTGTAACAATCAACTAAGAAAGTAATGATAATACTAATGAATATAATTCGTTATAACCAAAATACCCTTATTCAATAAATTTATTTAAGAAATTCCAATTTTAAATGATTTTTAATTTATATCTTAATTTTATAAAAATTTTTTTAATTGCTATAAAAGGTTAAAAATTAACTTTTAACTACTCCTACTATGTAGATGGGGCCTTACTTTGTACTTTGACAAATAATTACTTAACAAAAAAAAATTGTGATGTATTAAAAAGTACTAAATGTTCATTAAAATCACCCTGAAACGCAGAGAATTGGTCAAAACATCGTTTTTATATGACTAGAAGTTGTTTAAAAATCTTATTGGAAAATGAACATTCAAAACAATTCTAACAAAATTAATATCTATGTATATAAATTAATCTATTGTAAAATCAAATTAGGATTAACGCAAAATATTAATGCCTTATTTACAATATTAATTTAAAAAAGAAAAATTAAACTTATATAAGTAAAATAAGCATATTTTAATTAATCACTATCAAACGAATCATATTCTGTATCTGTCCTTAAATTATTTTTAAAATCATACTTGCCACTCCCACTACTTCTACTTTCTCCGCTTCTCCTCCTGCGTTGGTAAATTGGAAATCTATTTAAACGTGTCAATAAAGCCTCATCGATTATCATTCGAGTAACATCCACTTTAAGTTCTCTTTTTCTTAATATTTTGTGTAAATCTTCAGGAGATTCAGATTCAGAGGATGATGTATCAATTATATCGCGAACCATTCTTTCTGGTTCTAAGGCACTTGGTATATAACAAGAATTTTCTTCATCATCTTCACTTTCTTCTATTTTATCATCTAAATTTTCTTCATTAACTTTATCATCTTCACTTTCTTCTATTTTATCATCTACATTTTCTTCATTAACTTTATCATCTTCACTTTCTTCTATTTTATCACCTACATTTTCTTCATTAACTTTATCATCTTCACTTTCCTCCTCAATTTTATCATCTTCACTTTCCTCCTCAATTTTATCATCTTTACTCTCCTCAATAACTTTATCATCATCACTTAATAAACTCTCACCTTCAGCAATGATATTATCTTCTTCACATTTATCATCAAGCTCAATTTCATTATATCTATGTATGTCATCTTCACTACTTGTGATACTTGAATTATTTGTTTCATTTTTTTCGCTTGTTATTGAAGAATTTTCTTGTCCTGTATCTAATTCTGAATCCTCCACGTCGGATTGTTGACTACTTTGAGATAAACTTGTGTTTAATGAAGGTGTAATAACTTCAGGAGACTCTTGAAATCTTAAAATTGGGCTATCATTAATTTTTCCTTTTTGTATCAAAACTTTTACATGAAAATCTCCTGTTGTAACCTGCTTTGAATTGTTATTTGGATGATCATTATAATCAATACGATAAAAAGACGTCATTTCTTCTGAAGCTTTATGATGTACGAAATCTAAGGATGTAAATCGATCCGATCTACACTCACAACAAAAGTATTTCGCTAATAATTCGTGATGGGAAACGTGATCTCTTTCGAAATTTTCCTTTTCTTTTGCGCCACAATCGACGTCTTCTTGCATCGCGTTTAATAACCTTGAAACTGATCTGGTACGTTTGTTTAATAATCGGCCGTCTTCATCATAGCGTAAACAAGGGGGTGAAACTCCTGTGTCGTCATCAATTGTTGATTTAGTGGATCGTCGGCGTTTTCTTTTTGATGGCCTAAAAACTTTCTCCACTTCTTTATCAATGTACGGGGTGTTTCTATCACTCGAATAATCATAATCAATTTCACACGGAGTTGAATGCATTGGTTTTAATAAATCGGATACACCACCATCTTCCATTGAATCCCCATCATCAAAATTTAATTTATCTAAGTTGTGTAGGAAGAGTTTGTAAGCTGCCGAAAAACTTACATAAGAATCTGAGTTAACGGTATCGTCGATTATTGTTTTAACCATGAAGTTTTTTATGTAAATAAGCTTATTAAGGAGGAGGACGCAAGTGCTACATATCCCGTGATCTTCTTTTAAATATTCTTCCTAAAATTATTTTTTGAGGTTAGGTTCTTAAAAATCTTTATAACTCAAATAAATTAAGCTAATCTTACCACATCTCCGAAGAAACTTATAATATAACTTGTAATTGGTCTTTCCGTACGCCCATAAATCTTGTAAATGTTAAATAAACGCCGTTTTCTTTTGCAAAATAAACAACTTAACATTGGTATCATCTTGTTTTTTTTAATCACACAATTTTAAAAGGTTAAAATACTTCCAAATCTTATTTCTATTCAATTTTAAGGTATTAAATTATACTTTAATTATATATTTTGATGTATATTATATTTTAAACATGATTAATAACAAACTAAAATTTTTTTAGGTTATCCGCCTCTAACTCTAATAAGTGGTTACTGTTTTACCGACATGTATAACAAACTAAATTTTATCGAAATTAATAATTTTCCACAATTATTTTTTAACCAAATCATTTTTTAATTGAGATAAAAATAAAATGTAACGTTATTAATTAACTTTTATCTAAAATACAAAATGTGTTGTATCATTATTTAAAAATAAAAAATTCTTTTTAAACGAAATGCTCTATATACTTCGACATTTTTAGGGTTGACATAACCTAAAAAAAATTGACATTTGTTAACCTACAAAAAAATGGTTAAAATAAGTCTTCAAATTAAAGCAAATCTAGAAAACCTCGACGAGCTCTTCACAAACCATCCCGATTACAATTTCCTTTTAAAACTAAAATGTTTAAATTGTGGTGAAATCTCCGATAAATGGCATGATGTTCAAGAATCCCAAAGATTCCCCACAAAAACGGGAAAATCAGATACTCACTTTTTAGCACGATGCAAGCTTTGTGGAAGAGAGAATAGTTTGGATATAATTGAAGGAAGTAATGGGAAATACACAGGAGATGATGTAGGAAAGTTCAAAACATTGGTAACTTTTGATTGCCGTGGCATAGAACCCATTGATTTTCAACCAAGTGATGGTTGGATTGCCAAAGTTGAGGAAAGCAACAAAACGTTTAATGATGTTGATTTATCCGAAAAAGAATGGGTTGAATATGATGATAAATTAAAACAATCTGTTGGGATTTACGAATTAGAATCAAAATTTGTTAAGGTGAAATAAATTAAAATAATTTTATGTATTACGTGGTTTTATTTGGGTCTTATTACACAAAAAAAATAAAGGTACAATAAGTAATTTGATAAATTGTGCTAAAAGATAACTAAATTAAAAAAGCACCTCATCGTTACATTTATTTTTATTGTTTATATTTTTTTTACGATTATATGAATATATACAGCTTAAAAAGAGGCAAGAAAGCGCCTCTTATTTAGAAATCTAAGAATAACTTACTAACTAGTGAATAAAAAATAAATACAATGGGAATGTAAAAAAATATACAACATTGTACAGGATTATTATACAAATTGACTTATTTAAGCAATAACAAATAATAAAAAAATATCCTAAAATAAGTAGACCTAAAAATTTACAACAAAAAGAAGGTGCTCGGTTCTTTTATGCAAAAAAGTCAACTTTTAAAGAGGTGTAAAGATCAAGTTAACACAGCCTCGAAAAACATACCTACACAAAAAATGATAAAAATAAAAATGATTATTATCATTATTATTATTATTATTGCGATCTCCTTCCATTTATTTTTTCACTTTTAAAATTTAGTAAAAAAATAATAAACGTTCTTGATGACTGGCAGTCAACATTCTCCACCCTCTCTTGATACTCCAATATTGTAAAATGGCTCGGATACAAATTATTAATCCTAAAAATTTCAAAATCACCAAACAACCTCTTTCTTTGCCTCTAGGGATAACTTACCAAAAGTCATTATCAACCACCATAACCAACTATTGTCTTTTGATGCTAAATCAGTTGAATGTTTCACAATTAATGTCCATTTAGCAAGGGATAACCCAAATCCTGATAGGGCACCATAGCGAGATGCGATTGTGTGACAGAAACACATTAATAAAAGAAAACCGATCCAGTTAAATATAAAGGCAACTAAAATTAAGAAATTAAAAATTAATATTATTACTTATTACACAATTATTTTACGAACCAAAAAATGCTGTATAAAACATAAAATCAGTCCCCAATAGACTAGTATCTCCATCTCCGGTTTCTTCTGCGTCCAAACCAATAATTGTTCTTTGAGTATTTGGTAAAAATTCACTCTAAAAATTAATTAATTTTATATTCGTTTTTCGGTAGGTATTTATTTTAGTGTAGTTTGTATTAAGAGCATAGAAAACCTAATCTCAACTGCAAATCAGGAATTATTCTTGATCAATGATAAATTAATAAATCTAACGACGTTTTATATAGCGCCCTGAGGTGTACAAACATCACTTTCTTCGAGTCTTAAAAACTAATCATTGAACATAATCTAATTTAAGCACTTAACTTTCAACCTGGAATGATTCAATTCAATAATACAATACTTTCGCTGTATATGGAGATTAATCATCCCGATTATAACAATCAAAAAACGTGCGAACATTTTTAATGTTGTTGTTATGGTGCAATTATTCTCGCGATTATAGCTGTTACAGTTATTTATCTTGATTGTATAACAATATACAGGATGATTCTCAACCTATACGCATAAACTTGGGGATTTATTCCCCATGACAAATATGGAGTAATAGGTGAAGAAAATTGTAGCAAAAGTTTTTTAGTTTCCTAGATATTCACAGAAATTTACTTTCAAATCAAGAATACATATTCTATGTTGTTTCTAATATTTTTTATACACAATTGGGCTCGCTGAATCCACGATGTCCCACTAGCGCGGCCTAAACCAAGGTGTTGGCGGATTGTCTCTGCAGTTTGTATCTGATTTCGTAATCCTTGCTCAGTATTAACTTCCTCAGCTGCAAAGTTAAGTGCCTGTGTTAACCACTGTATGATATCTTCAATATCAACCAAGAGGGCGGCAGCATCTGCATAGCACACAACATTACATACCTTGTAATGTTTGCCCTGTTCTAATTCTTTTATTCTTACTTTGTCGAACGTTTTGGTTAGATCAACGAAACACAGGAAGGCTGCCTGACGTTTTTTCGCCAGAGTTTTATCTGATTCTTTTCGATGTTCTCAACATTGCGTGATATGTAAGGTTCTCGTTACTAAATTTCGTCATGTATCATTTGTGTAGTCAACTCTTGCATTCAGAAGGATGTGAGCAAACGACACATTCAAATATATGTAAACATTTTTTTGCAAAAGATGAAATAACTATGGTGGTATCAGTTCTAAACAGATGAGATAGTTTGGTGTTGCTGTGTAGGATGATTTCTGGTAGCAAAGACTACTTTGTACAGTTTGGAGATGATATGATAGCGCGGCCTAAACTAGGGTGTTGACAGATTATCTCGGCAGCAGTTTGTATCTGATTTCGCAATTCTTGCTCAGTATTAACTTCGATAACGTACACCGAATATATCAGTGCCGCATATATCAGATACCTATGAAACTAAAAATCTTTTAAAGATATAAAAAGGAACTAATAATAATATGTATGCAACAATCCTTTCATTCAAACACATTGGGGTGATGTGTGACTTTTACATTAAGACAAGAATCCGCAATGTATTCAATGGTTCTCAGAAGAATTTCAGATCAAATCTAAATATTCAATTCCTTCAAAGTTATGAACTCACAACAGTAACTTGCCATCTCTCATCTAGCAACTCATTGCATTCGAAAACTTGCTGAAGAACAAATAGAAAATCAGTTGTTCGGTTTTTTCATTCATTTTAGAGACAATTACATAGATGACATCATCTCCTATGTAATAATAAAATCGAGCAAATTTTAGTTTATCTATAAACCAACTCTAACATAGCGCTATTGTAGTTATATACGAGAGTTTATCATCTGGATGCAATGGTTTCACAGAAGTTCAAATAGTTTCTTATATTCGTCATAAGAATGCATTTTGATTTCGATGCTAAACGTTCTTTCATTTCCTGTAGGATTTCTATATTATCACTTGGCGAAGCAGTGGATTCCAGTTTTACTCAGGCAAAATTTAAAAGACTGGTAGCTTTTGAACACGATACCATTTTTGGGTTTAAATCTCGGAGAAAGTATGTTGAGTTGCCAATTGTAATTCAAAGTAGATGTTAAGCCGTCGGTCTAAGTAAATAATCATACACCTCTGGATATCGATATCATGCATGTGCAGAGAAAGCTAAACACTGGGAAGGATCCCCCATGATGGCACGGGGGTTGAGGAGACGGCACATTTGCCAATAACTTCAATAGCTACATAACAACGTAATTTTTAATTAAAAATAAATTGTTAAACCTAAGTAACAACACTTTTCAAGACTTTAATTTGGTTGATCCTCCTGGATATTCTATAGCTACGCAAAAGCATTAGGCATTAATTAAGTTTATTATCTCCTCTTTGTTCTATGATTGCTGTAACGGAGATTTCACTGTTTTTAAAAGTAACAGCTAAAAACTAACCCACTAAAAGCTTAATGGGTCAGCTCCAGCTTTTGATAACGTTTACAATGTGCTTTGGGTGGCAGTCTTGCCGCAAAATCCAGCGTTCCTCAACTCCCAATATCCACTGATAACTTCAAAGTTTGTTGTAATATACCTTTCCTGAAACTGTCATGTAATGTTACAATTGCAAGGCTGTTTTGATAAGAGTTGACCATTTCCAGGCTCAATTCGATAATTTTAAAGTACTCCTTTTCTAGATTCTTTCTGCCTTCAAATTTTTCTAATCTAGAATAGCGTAATTTATTTGAAATTTGAATTCAAACTATGTTTATCCCTTGCAATTTACAACTTTATGGACTTTGATGTAAATAACTATTTTATACAAATCAGTCAAACCTACTGTAAATCAGTAAATGTTTTTTATAACGCATATTGCAATAGCTCTCCAAACCATAACATTGCCTGTATTGTGCAGCTCTTTCCAGCAATACATTTTGCTGTCGATTTCTTTGTCAACATGAGATTGAACGAATTCTTATCTTTTGCAAAGTAAAAAGTTTCTGTGGGGTGCCTTACTGAAAATTTCATTATCACATGAAACTCTTTGGACACAACTTATTAGATACAATTGCGACGTGGTCGACTATCTTTCGTAAAATATGCAGCATTCTTCAGTATCAGTATTATTAACTAACTATAATACTAATTTCACTTTAATTTCACATTTTAAGACCTCTTGTTAAACAGTCCCTCAAATTAGGCCTTTAACATTAGCGCATATTATATGGGTAGAATTTAAAATTGAACGCAAAACTCTTCTCACAGATTCACTAAGCTAAGCTGTAACTCGCGTGTATGTTGCCATGAAAATCGAGTTCTTTCCTACTACCATGAGATTTTCGAGTGATCTTGCTGTTTTTCCAAGACATGGCTACTTTTTCTTTACTATATTGCTTGTTGTATTCCATTTTTCTACTAATTTCTGCATTGTCTTGAAACAGTGTCATTGTTTCGATATTGAAACGGCCGGAAAATCCACTACTAATCATTTTAATAAAAATATTATTTTTAATAGAAGAGGACTAGAGTTTAAAAGAAGGCGGAACAAAATGGCTTCGTTTTCTTGCAGCAACAGGAATACTGTTAAAGCTTCGTTTTTGTCAGATAAACATCGGTTCAGAACGTCACTCGCCTTCATAAGTGTGACAAACCTCAGAGACGAACTCCACGGTTGAGCAAACATTCAACCGCCAAAGCGATCCCTATGTTTGCCGCTCAGGTGATGGTTTAGGCCAGAGTGACTTCGACAGGGAAGACACCATTGGATTTTTGTGGATTAGGGGGTCAAGATCAGTTCCCCTAGGACATTACAACAGGACTCAGCGCCCGCGCACAAGGCTAAGATGGTTTAACAGTGGTGCCAGACCAATTTTGCAGCCATGATCACCCCCACGGAATGAATTTCGACAGTCTGAAGCGAGCCCTTCAGAAGGCATGGCACAATCTTAACGTTGAGTATCGCTCCGTTAATTTAAAACAGAAATACCGTGCTACCCGACTTTTGTGGCACCCTGTATAATTCAAAATAATTATCTTTTTTTTTTTGGTGTCAACATGATATTGAAATGTTTTCATTACATCTATTCATGAGTCAACATAGGTCATATTGCAATCATATACAAGTAAACGTTGAAATTATTTTATAATTTACAGTGAGTCAATTGGACTAACAAAAAAAGTAAAGGTCTCAAATTACTCCTATCTACAATACCAGATTTAATTTAAATTTCTGTTATTACATTTTAAATAAAATAGAAAAAATCAAGAATTCACTTTGTCACATTTTGTTACTATTACATAAATTAAAATATAAAGATTTTTTGACATGGTTAAGTATAAAAAGTAGGTAAACATAAAATTGATGAAAAATTGCTTTAAAGTGCAAAGACTTCAATTGGAGTTCACAAAAAGTTAAGGCTTTAAAAGATCCAAATGTGCTTGAATTTGCATTTTTCCAATCAGTTTTAGTCATTTTTGCTAGAAATGAAAAATTATAAATTGAATGAATAATTTTAAGATATCAAAATCAAATAAAAAATAATTTTTATATCTTCTTAAAATAAAACAAACCTATATTATTGTTTAAAAAATTATTTTCTCCATGAAATGTCAATTTGACATTTAAAATTTCATTTTTAGGTTATGAAATGTCATTTTGACATTTAAAATGTCACTTTTAATTTACAAACAAATTTAAAGTTGAATATAATCTAGATAAAAAAATGTAATTTTATCACCGTAAAATAAAGTGGTAATTAAAAACATTCCTAAATCCATAACAACATAATTAACATTCCTAAAAGCTTATTCGCCTTTATGAATTTTTATGTTAGAAAATATGTGGAGAGAAATGCCTTATCAAGTAAACACTAAATATCTGAAGTAATGTACTAATAGTAAAAAAATGTATAACTTTGAATTTGAAATTAGATTTTCTGTTTTTTTTTTTATGAATTAAATTCATAAATCTTATTAATCCTTACTGTTACATGTTGATTTTGAGCACTTCCTTGTCCCTCAAGATGTTTTTCTCTTTGAACTTCCTCATAAGTTGGCAATTTTGTGGCTGCCTCATAAGGTGGTGGTGCTGAAAAATCTGGTTTTGGTGGCGGTATATCGTCGTAAGCATATGCGGTTATTGTCATCACTGGTACGTAAGGGATTACAGATGTGACCTCATTACGTTCTTCCGGGGAATGTCTCTATAGTATGTGAGATGTTTTTTAAAAGGATTGGTTATGAATGTATATTGTTAAGAAGGGATTTAAATTGGTATTTTACCTCTTGCTGAGGACCCTCTGTCGAAACGGGGTGGTTATCCATATTTTTTAGGACACTTTTTTATGATTTTGATCCGTTTTTATGATAAAATAAACAAATAGGGTTACAATATGGCCACCAAAACTCTCTCTCTGTGGTGTTGGAAATGTTCGTTTTTCTGACAGATTTGTATGAATCGGTGTTGGGTGTTTATAGAATGCACCCATTTTTGTTTGTATTTTCATAAATTCGTCACTAAATTTTAAATATTTACATGAAATTGAGTTTAAAAATCTAGGATATTAATAAAAATATTTATAAAATAAATAAATGTTAATATATTTCATTTTTAATACAAAAGAATATGTGAATACGTTCTGAATCAACTGTCAATCAAGGTTAAGATAAATGCCGCTAGATGTCCGACTTCAACACAAACATTCTGCACGGAGCAACAGTTGACATTTTACCTTTGTAAGGTTAAGACGTATGTGAAGTTGTTGTTGCACGTGTTGTTTTTAAGTTTAATTAATTATTTTCTTTTTGTTTATGGTTGATATTCGTTTTTGTTAAATGAATGTGCCCTTTTACTGTGTTTTAAATATTTAAAAGTGTCCGAACTTGGGGATGGTTTGCTAAAAATGTTCTTTGAAAAATCTTAAAAAACTTAGGGTAAGAAACTTTTTATATTTCTTTTTCTTTTAATGAACTTCAATTACTACTTAATTGAATAAAATACAAACTATGTATGCACTTATTTTCAGATTAGTGCATATAAATAAATTTCTTCTTTGAAAAATAATGTGTTATTCTTTTCGGTTTTTAAGAGGACTTACTAATGATATACTAACATTAAAAATAGAACATTCATAAAATTCCTGTGTTCACAGAGCATTAAGGTCAAACGAGAGCAAAATACGACTTCTTGGAATGAATAAGTTTTTTTTAATATCAAAAAAGTCGTTTTAACAAGCCAAAGTTATTTATTTAAAATCCTTGAAGACTTTTTAAATGTGTTATTTTAACAAAACTTTGTTTAAACGACAATAAGAAGTTTTTATTTTATCATTTTCGGATTATAAAAGAGAATTGGGAATGAAACAAATTTTCTTAACAAGTTGTAACAAGTTTAAAGTTATTTGGTAAGAGTCCTACTTAAAAATATGAATTTGTTATTTAAATTCTTTTGTTTATTTTAAAATTATAACATTTTTAAATGACACTAAATAGAGTCAGTGTTTGTATAAATTTTTTTAGTTAAATCAAATCTATTCATTTGAGCACCTTGAATTTACTTGAGACCTTTTTTTGGGGCTATAAAAGGAGAGCAAAATGCTACTTCTTATGTTCTTGTAATGAATAATCCTTTTTAAGCGAAAATCTCGTTTAAATAAGTTAAAGTTATGTGTTTAAAAACCTTGACGACTTTTTAAGCGTTCTACTTTGGTTAAAATCAGACTCATTCTTTGTCTAAATGACTCAGTTTTTTTTGTACATCATAATTCGGTGTCTATTTTTTGTTAATAATACTTAAAGTTTAAAATTACATTTAAATGTACATAGAGTTGTCTTCTTCAATGATTTTCCTCCACATACAAAATTTCAAAAACAAAAAATGCGAGTTTGGTAGAATGAGACAGGTGTTTAAGTAAATTATTACTTCCGGTTGCGCGGCATGTTTAAAATTTTACACCTGGTTTATTTGTTGCTATGTAACTCTTCGCATAAATGAACGGATGATTCGAAAATCAACATTGTTGGTGATACAGCTTTAAAGATTCCTGAAAAATATCTGAAAATGCTTATGGAACACTTTGTTTAGTTTTCCGAGTATTTAAAGAGCCAATTTTGTCTAAACCCATGAAAGTTTTAGGGGAAAAAACAAATACACTACTCCTTAGTGTTTTGGTAAAAAAAAGTTTTGTTGGTGAAATATTAGCTTGAAAAGATTTTTAATCTTAACCTCCAGATCTCAACCATTCTATAACTGAGAGGTACTGTTACATGAGATCGTTGATTGTTGTGTCCTTTCCTATAAATTCGAGATAACATATTTAAATATACCTAACGTTTACAAGGAAACAAAACATTCAGTGACAGTGCAAGAATAACGTTTTGAAGTGTAGGTGAGGTCTGCTTGACCCAAGTGTGCCTTTCGCGTGATATTTTTTGTTAAGCATTATTGACTAGTTTAAACAATTTTAAATATTTTACTTGGTAAGTTTTAAAATTTGCTAAGTCACACAGGTATGTTGTTTCATCTTAGTAATATTATGGCCACTACAACTGTTAAGGAACTAAAAATCGAGGTAAATAAAATGTTAAAGAAGACGCTTTCAGTGAGGAAGAAAGTGAAGAAGATTCCGATCAGTTTGAAGAACAAGAAGTTTTAGATAGTGAGGAGAGTGACGAAGATTTACATCAACAGGAGGAAGAAATTGCAAGTAAAGCATCGGTAATATCAGCAAAAAATGGTTACAACTGGTTGAAATATAGCATCGTTTATAGCAGTGCGAAGAACCAATGCTGAATTTAATCCTCATAGGAAAATTTGAAACATATTTATTTCAAATTGTCATAAATATTATACAATGCACTCGTATTGCACAATAAGATAAGTATGATAAGTATAATTTAAAATAGTAATGATGAATAACTGTAGAATTTGGTATATGATCAATGCAATTCCATATGTAGGAAAAGTGTTGTCGGACCGTAAAGAGTCAGTTCCACCATACTATGTAAGAAAGCATTCAGAACTAACTCATGGGACGGGATGAAATGTTACTGTTGACAATTGGTGTCCTTCTGTAGACCTTTTCGATAAAATGTTAGTCGATCACAACATTAACAGGATTGGAACCCTGAGGAAAAATAAACGGGAGATACGTTAATCATTTCTAAATGGAAAAGCAAGAGGTTGTTGCACATTTGCGTTTGATATTAATGAAACACTCCTTCCTAATGTCCCAAAAAAAGAATAAAGTCGTACTTCTGCTATTAACTATCCACCGTTGTGACAGTATAAATGATGAAATGGGAATCCTGTAATTGTAATGGATTATAATGATACCAAAGGGCGTACTGACACATTTTATAAACTGCCACACTTATACAATAGCGAGAGCGACCCGAAATTCTTTCTTCTATGGAATATTAGATCATAGTGGAATAAACGCTGCCATATTACTTAATTTTGTACATACTAATGGCAGAATGAATAGAAGAAAATTTATTAATGACCTGACCTTTCTGCCAATAGAGGCACTATTGAAAGCTCGGTTAGAAATCAAAAGTGTAGAAAGATCACTTAAGACATATAAGGCATGTTGATTCGAAAAATCTCCTTGATCGGTAGAAAATGCGTATATACATATAAGGGTGATAAACTGCTTAAAATCACACGGTTTCCTAATCGATATACAGGATGAGTCAAAAAGGATATCAAATCTATGAACTGAAATATTGGACACCAAAATAGTCGATTAAATTCAATACGCTTATACTAATGTTGTTAGTTAAGAAGATACAGATTGCACAAATTGTATTTTTTTTTAAATATCTTAATAAAAGAATACAAATACCTAAAACATTCAGAATTTAATAAAAAAATTGGAAATGAACTTCAACAAAAATAACGATTTTATAGTAGTTCAGAAAAGGAACAAGCGTAAAACAACGCTCGCTACTATTCATGATACAGCCGGCGATGTCGAATTAAAAGTTGCGTGCTATCCGTTATGTGCACCTGCACGTTTACAGATTGGTACTAAATCAATCATTTTGGAAAAATTCTTAAATAACAGAATTGAATAGTTAAATGCCTACAATTAGGTGCTAAACACACGGGTTCACCGTTTAAAGTATTTATTTCTTTTAAGGAATTGCAGATTAAATTGAATCACTGGAATGTATTATGGTTAAATAAACATTGGATAGCTGCGACGGCACAACGTGCTAATGCTGGTCTTAAAAGACCAGAGGTGGCGCGTTAATATGCGTAAAATCAAATTTTATAAACATGGAGATAAAATCGGTTAAAATGCTTTCTATAGATAGAATCATTGAATGCACCGTTACAACTGTTAAGTTTACATACACTAAAATTAACGTCATGGTCGTTTACAGACCTTCGAGACGCGATAAAACCTGAAAAGATTTAGTAAGACTCTGAAAATCGTTTCTAGAAATTCGAAAAATATCCTCTGATGCTGCGATCTTAATATTGATGGCCTATCATGAATTACACAGTTAAAAGTACAATAAGGACCCCCTGGGGCCTAAGTACTGTGTAGGAATTCACCCCCACATGAAACTACGTACATACAAAGTACGATACATTGGATTCATTCCATATTGGAAATGAACTAAAAGAAACAATTCTAGAATAGAATCATTTCCAAAGTCACTTATATGGCTTGCATTAATTATGTACATGGTAATCAATATTAAAGTAAATCTAAGATTTTGTACGCTATAACATCGAAATCTTAAATAAAATCATTTAATATATCTTAAATTTTATATTCTCTTCGTACTATTTATAAACGATTTACCTGTTTGCAAAATATGTGGAATCTATTGATTGACGTTTAGTAAATATTCCAATAACTGATTCACTTATTATTAAGACATTGCAAATTCATATTGAGAACATAACTGTCAATCCGGCGACATAACAGTCTTCAATATACTCGTGGTTGTCGTGCTAAAGCAATGATTAATTCTTCCCATGGTTGTTAACATTTTGCTAGAAGTTGTTGTTGTTGAGGTAAGTTCTCACGGCTATGTCAAGCTTTAAGATGCTTGTCAACAGAAAGCGCCGTCAGAATTTCTGTTGCTGGATACATTTTCTTAAATCTCGCAACATTGCATATGTTTGTAGTATCATCGATTTCCTCAGCAGTTATTTGGAAAGGCATTCCCAGTGATGGAATTGTTATTATTGTATAGTAGATTCCTAATCCATGGTTCTTTCAGTTCAGCCGAGGATTAAACTACAAAGATTGAAGTATTACTGTATTTACTATGTCATTGGTCTGTGTCCGGGATAGTAACTCGGCATATAAGTGCACTGAAAATGCTCACTATTTGTTGCTACTACATTATGGAATTAAGCGTTAATTTATGCTAGTTTTTTTTTTACGAACTATTTATACTCTGAAAAGATGACAAGAAATCTTGAGATATCTATATCTTTTCCGAAATTCTCCGTTGTTGTTCTTGATGTGGCTCTTAGATCTAACAAAGTTACTACAAGCTTTTTCCTGAAGTCAATAACTTGTGATTTCTTGGCCGTAAATTTATCTTGACTTATAAAATAATTAGTTATTGATGTATCGAGTAGTATCTCAAAGTCAACTTTATTATACCAAACTAAGCTCTTCGAAGTGAAAGAGAAGTAATTGGATACTTGATCAGAACTGGCCATACCTTGTTTGCATTAACAGTTTTGTTATTAAAAAAGTGAAATGGGTACGTAGTTATTGAAAGCTGTTTCTAGACATTATTCTAGGACCTGTATTTATTATTGTGTTGCATTGATTTGTTATCAATGTCAAAATTATAGATTGGTGAATTTTGAATTTCTTCTTCTTTTTCTCTTGCCCCCATTCTATCTCATGCTGTTGGGTTTCAGTTCCATCTCCTAGACTGTTCTTCCTTATCTGGGA